TTTCCAGTAATTTCCATAAATAATGCTTAATAAACATTGATCCAGTGGAAGAATTTGTGCAATAGCTTAATGTATTTTTCCTGAAGGAGTTGTTGAGACAAGATGTGGTAGGTAGCAGGGAATCACTGGAGGTCTTTGAGCCAGGGAGGGGATGCCTCCTTCCAGCTGATCTCTAGGACCTCTTCTGTCTCTGAGCTTCTGAGGGAAATGGCCAGAGAAGGGCATCAGGAAGATGACTTGGTTAGAATGTGCAGGTCGGGCTGGGAGTGGGGAGACTAAAGCAAAGGATACCTTTTAAAAAATAAATTTTTATTGCCATATTTTGTTTTTATGTCACCTAAATTTCCCCCTGTATGTCTCCCACCCCTTGCTTGCAAGAAGGCTGTTGCAGTATTGCAGTATTGTAGGCAAGAGGAGGCAAAGGCCTCTAGTGGGTTTGGAAATGGGAGGAGGTAGGCAGTGGATAAGACAAACAGTCATCTGTGGTTATTTCTCTGTTTCTGTGGGTGAGTCTTATCTTCTTGGCTGGACTGGAAACTCTTTGAGGGGAAGGACTGCGTATCTTACTCCTCTTTTGCACTTAACCATACTCATCCTTTTTTTTTTTTTGCTTAGGCAATTGAGGTTAAGTGACTTGCCCAGGGTCACACAGCTAGTAAGTGTCAAGTGTCTGAGGCTGTATTTGAACCCAGGTCCTCCTCACTCCAAGGCCAGAGCTCTATCCACTGTGCCACCTAGCTGCCCCTATACTCATCCCTTATCATAGATAGTTGGGTGTTTGTTCTTTCTGCCATTGGAACAGAAGTTCCCCAAGAGAAGGGCCGGACTGTGTCCTATCTATCTTTGTATGCCCACAGCTATACACAGGACTTTGTATACTGTAGGCACTTAAATCAGTGTTTATTGAATCGAATCTCTTCTCCACATCTCCCCCAAGTCACCCCAGAGCCACGTGCACAGTGGCCTTTCAATAAATATTCTTTTGTTTGTACAATGTGCCTTAATTCACATTTCTGCTACTTTGGTCCTCCTTCCCCCCCACCCCCCACCCCCCCATCTAGTAGGACCTTCCCTCCGAGATTCCCTCCCCATTCACATTGTGTAGATCTCGTTAGGTTTGTCTCCCCCTCTTAGAATGTGAGCTCCTTGAGGGCTGGGACCGGGTTTTATCTCTAGTGCCTGATAGGTCCCTAGCAAGTGCTTAATAAATGCTTGTTGGAAGCCCCTGCTGCCAGGGGAAGCTGGTTAATATGAGGCGATGTGTGCTCACTCAGAGGATTATCCATCTGGAGCTTGAAGGGATCCCAGAAGCCACCAAGTCAGGATTCCCCTCCCCCCCCCATTTTATAGTTGAGCGACTGCCCGCTAGAAAGGAAAAGTGAAATGACTTGCTTAAGGTCATACAGATAGTAAACATCAGAGGCAGGATTTGAACCTACCTCCTCTAATTCCACAGCTAATGTTCTTTCCACTACACCCTGCTTCCTCCCTTGTCCCCGGACAAGCATTTATTGAGTGCCTGGTACACACCAGGTACCATACTAGGCGCTGGAGTTACAAAGACAAAAACAGAAACAGTCCCCGTCTTCAAGGGGATTACATTCTACTTAGGGGAAGTAACTTGTACCAGATAAGTAAGTATAAAATATATATAAGGCCCCTGACCCAGAGGGAGCTGCTTAAGATGCCTGATTTCTGGCCACATAGGTTCTCCAACAAGAACCCCTGCCCTTCTCCAGCTCCCTAGCTCTTTATCTCAAAGAGGGACCGGCTTATTAAAGTTGATTTCTTAAAATTATTAATCCTATTGAATATGTTTTCATACTGAATTGTTGTGGGGTTTTTTTTTTTTGTTATATTCATAGAAATTTCCCAAAGGGAAATTCCAACCATGGAGCACAGGAGAGATCGGCCCCTTCCCCACCTGCCTGAGTGTTACCATAGGAACAGAGTGATTCAGATGACTAGTTGAGGGTGAGGCCCAGTTGGGAAAGAAAGAGATTTGTAATTGTATCTCCAGGTGGCCAAGCCCGAGGTTTGAAGGAGCGAATGTTGAGGAGGTCATGTTTTTGCAAACCTAGAGTTAGAATGATTAAAAAAAAATAAGACAGCCTTGTCCTTCACTATGAAAGAGGAACATGCTGGGAAATTTTTTTTAATAAAAGCAGCCATTGTGATGAAATGTGAGGGTGGGAGGAGGGGGCAAATATTATGGAATTTTTAAGAAAATGAGGGGAAACTGTAATCGTGCCTTTGGTCTATATAATAAGACACCAAAGGGACCTCAATAGGAAACTCCCAGTTCTATCTGTGTGATTCTGGTCCCAATCATTTAACCCTTTGGATACCTATTTCATTTGTAAATGAAAGGATTAAAATGTCCTTTCCAACTCTAAATCTGTGATCCATTGGCTATTCTATAAAATCGTGTTTACAATCTCAGGCTTGAAAGGCAACCTCATCTTGGGTCACTACAACCTGACTTTGGACTGAGAAAATTACAGGTACATGGCATAGTTATAGAGTCAAACTTAAGACAGAAATTTTGCTTGAGGATTTCCTCAGTTAGTGCTATTCCTCTGAGTTCAGCCTTTTCCACCCAGATCTTTCTCTTGACTCTCTTTCAAAGGTTTGGTTTCTCTTCCTGAGTTTCCCTTTGCTTTCAGTTCCCCCAATCTAAGCTAAAGCCCAGCTCCTCTGGGCTCTCAATGAAGAAATCCCCCTCTAAATTTTTTAGGTTTCACTCTCAAAAATTCATGCGAGATTGTCCTCTGGAGAGTCCCCTAAACCCTCTGAGGCCATATTCTCCTGGCCTCTTCATATGCACCCTCCTGCATTCTCTCTTTTCAACCTGTCACCTTCCAAACTGGCTTCTCCTGTCTTCTGGCCTTAACTTCTTTTGTTTTCACTCTTTTCTGTTCCTGGAATGACAAGAGATATTATACAGATGTTCCTGGTGCAATGGGAAAAACACTAGGCGTGGAATCAGTGGATATAGATTTAGACCTTGGACCTGGGGCTCTGTTTCTCACTCACTGCCTGTGTGACCCTGGGCAGCAACTCTCTATAACAGCTTGAATTTGTGTGTCATTGTTGGGTTTATAAAACATTGCAATGTTCCACATCTCTAGGTCCCAGTTTGCTCTTTTGTCAAATGAGGGGCTTGAATGAAATATTTTCTAAGGGCCTTTCTAGTTCTAAATCCTGTCATCCTATGTTTCTCCCAGTTAATTCCCTGCCATGACAGATGGATATTTATAACACCTCCACTTTAGTATAAGATCTATATGAGCTGACTCTTGTCTGCGGTGAACATGTCGATTGTTGTTCAGTCGTGTCTGATTCTTCGTGACCCCATTTGGGGTTTTCTTGGCAGAGATACTGGAACGGTTTGCCATTTCCTTCTCCAACTTATTTTATGATGAGGAAACTGAGGCAAACATAAGTGACTTGCCCATAGTCACATAGCTACTAAGTGTCTGAGGCTAGATTTTAAGCCCCGGAAGATGAGTCTTGCTGACTTCAGGCCAGGTGCTCCATCCACTATGCCACCTAGCCACCCAAACATGGAGAACCAGAAAACATAGGGAGTAGAGATGGGCTCTTCACCACTTCCCAGCAGAATGAGAGAGGGGGCAGCAGTGGCCAGAATTAAAACTGAATTCTCAGACAACTCACAAAGTTATGCTTGTGACAAGTGGGGTGGTCCAGGGGAAAGCAGCTGGACTTGGCATCAGGAAAGTGGAACGAGTGCTAGCTCTAGAACCAGAGCCCCTGGTTTCCAATGCCACCTCTGTCTGCTGCATACTACCTGTATGACCTTGGATAAATCACTTGGACCCCCCTGGGCCTTGATATTTTCATCTCTAAAATGAGGGGGTTGGATGAGATGGTGGTTCCGATCCCTGCTGGCCCAAGTTGAGAGATCACTTCCTCTCTCTGGCACTGCTTCCCCATGTACAAAATGAGGGCGTCATACTTGGTGATTTGCCACATCTCCCCTACCCTATGTGACTCCAGTTTCCCTGTAGGCTCAAGGGCCTGTGTGTGAAGGGGCGGGTTTGACATCCAAGGTAACAACATCAGGAATGCTGGCTTTCCCCCAGCCAGTAAACTTAGTCCTCACCCTCCCCAGTCCCTATCTTTTCCACTGTGCCTTCTAATCCTCTTCTATCAAATTTGTAAAACTATTTTAAAATCCCCTTCACATACATTCCTCCGGTCTTCTGGTACTCACTAAAGTACTTTCTTCTGGAGACAGCATATCTATTACCACCCTCTCCAAGGCTGGCTACCCCTTCTCTTCCATTCCTAGGCACACAAAGTAGGAGGTGAAGTTGGCATGCTCTGTGATCTCCACTGCTACTTTCAGACCTCCCCTCTGACACCATCACTCAGCAACCAGTTCCCCTTTGAAGTTCACTCCATCTGGCTGTCTGGGTGGGAGAGTCAAGGAGGAATATATTTGGAAATGAAGGTCGACTCTCTAGGCCTCAGTTTTCTCATCTGTAAAATAAGGGCGCGGAAGTGGATGTGTTAATTGGTTTTATTGAGCTTTGTTTTAATTCTTTGTCACAAGGGGTGGCTCCCTGGGTAGGAGAAGAGGAGGGGTATATTTGCAAAAGAAGGTGATTAAAACATGAAAGTATCAATAAAAAATATTAAAAAAAAAAAATATGGGCATTGGCCTAGAATTGATCTCATAGGTCCTTTCCAATGCTAAAATGCTATGATGAAAGCTTCCTTGAGGCTTCCTTTCTTTTACTTGCAGAGTAGAGATAATGTTCTCTGCCCTCTTTGCCTCTCAGGGCTTTGGGAATGATTCTGTGAGATAATGAATATGCACATGCTTTGGAAATGGGAAATTGTAAAGTTTGGTACATGTGGGAAATATTTTCACAGCCAGTTTCATTGTGTCTGCAGACTCTCTGGGCCCCTCCCCTGTGGCTACAGAGAACAGCTCTTGGCTAACTTTCTCTTCATCCCTCTCTGATTTTCAGCTGAGAACATCTGGTCCTCCCCTTACCCCCAGTCCTGTGGGTCAGGGACTGAGCCAGGTAAGAGGATTTTTCAACCATATAAAGTCATTTCAGACAGGACAATGGAGATAGGAGATCCTTGTCTAGTCTGTCAGCCAGCCCACGGCTGTATGCAGAGCTTGCTCATCACTCGGACCAAGAGGGGTGAGGTGAGGATTTCTTCTTTGGCCAGATCTGTGATTTGGTCAGCATGGGGAGCTCCCTGATGAGCAAACTCTCTTTAACCGATGTAGTTCAACAACTGTCCCGCAATTTACAGTTACAGAGTTGCCTAGGGCACTGAGAAGTTAGGTGCCTTGTCGAGAGTCTCATAGCCCTTCTTCAGTGCTTCAGAGGCAGCACTTAATACTCAGTTCATCCTGGCTCCAGGGCCTGACTGTCTGCACGTTATGCTACAATGCTGCTTCTCTGAGGATTACTGTGGCATTGGGGACCTCATAACCTTCCTGGGGCAGATGAGCCCCCCACAAATGAAAAGGACAAAAGAGTTGTTACCTAGCTAAGGTATGCAGAGAAAAAAAAGGTGATAGGAAATGTCCTTTCAGTGGGAAGAACAATGGTCCAGGGCATTAAGGAAACCCATGTTCTAATCCCAGGATAAGGATCAACTCACTGACTGACCCTGGTCAAGTCACTTCTCTCTGGGCCGAAGTTCCTCCTCTGTCACATAGGGATAACCTGTGTTTTGCCTCCCTCAGAGTACTGTTTGTGAGGCTGCATGAGCAGATGAGGAAATGGTTTGGAAACTATTTTGAAAAATGCACAAGATATTGTTTGTCTTAGGGTGTTCGTCCTCCAATCTGACCTCACCAAGGCCCTGTTTGGTGACATTTGCCTCATACTGTCCTTACCGACATGAATGAGGGGAGCGGTTCCGAGGGAGGACCCCTGTCTTCTCACCAGTACATGCTTCCCCTTATGCTAAAATGATTGAATTTTGGGTTTCTGTCCCTCTTCCCCTGCCTGAATCCTATCTACTTGTTCTCTGCCTGGAGACAGAACCTACTGGCTGGGGAGTCTTCCATTATTGAGTGGGAGGAGTCAACCTTGGGGGTGTGAGGAAGAGAGGATGGTCCTCTCTGTAGCACTAGAAGAGCCAGGGCAAATGGCAATATCAATCAATCAATCAATCAATCAGTCAATCAGTCAATCAACAAGCATCTGCAAAATACGTATTATGAGCCAGACCCTGCTCAGTATTGGGGTTCTGACAAAACTTTGTAATAGATACAAAGACAAAGAAAGTAATAGTCCCTTCCCTCCAGCAGCCGATATTCTATTGGGGAAACAACATGTATGCATATAAGCATTTACAAACTATATAAAAGTAAATACAAAGGTAACTTTATGGGAGAGGCACTGACAACATATACGTAGAGAAAGTCCATAATATACAAAGTTACCATCTGGTGCTAGGGGAAGTCCTTATAAAGGAGGTGGTACCTGAGACAAGCTATGCAGGGAGTGCGGGATCCTAGGGTGTGGGGGTTAGAAGAGAGAGCATTTCGGGAGCCATGGCTCCAAACCAGACTCCTGAGGAGAGGACAGGAGCAGAAGGAGGGTAGGCAACAAATAACCTCCAAGAGGGGCTTCGGCTCAGGGAGAGGCAGCCTGCGTTACTAGAAAGAATCATGGGCTGGGAGTGAGAGGACCTGGCTTCACATCCTACCTCTGCCACTTACTACTTAGGTGACTGTGACTGGGTCACTTAGCCTCCCTCGGTCTCAGTTTTCTCATCTGTCAAAGGGGTTGGAGCAGATGGCCTCTGAGGTCCATTACAGTTCTCAGTGGATGTGCCACTGTGTGATTTAATGTCTTTGTGATCTGAGGCAGAGCATCCAGTTACCAAAGAGGGCCCCCTTGGGTGCTGGTCTTCACCAAGTTTATAGGTTGGAACCACCGTCCTTTTGATGTTAGCTAAGCCTCCTTGGCTCGGAGAGCTCCCCGGCACAAGGTGTTCTAGGCTCAGGGAGACAGCTGTGTTCTAGGGCTGCAGATGTTGCTCACATTTGTCAGATGTCAGATACCTCCCTTTGAGGTATGTAGGAATCCTTTTCTCACATATGCCCACAGGACATGAGGTCCTGGGAGGTGGGTGATTGGCTAAGGCCGCTGATGGTCTGTGGCTGGTATGTTGTAACCTTAGTACAGTCATGGGACCCAAATGGATGCTTGGATTCTTTTTTTTTTTTTTTTGCTAGGCAACGGGGTTAAGTGACTTGCCTAGGGTCACACAGCTGGTAAGTGTCAAATGTCTGAGGTCGGATTTGAACTCAGGTCCTCCTGACTCCAAGGCCAGAGCTTTATCCACTGCGCCACTTAGCTGCCCCTTGGATGCTTGGATTCTTGAACTTGATAAGTAAAGTTAGTTTCTTTTAGGACTTTAGCAGCTTTTCCAGTCAATGCCAAGGTGGTGCATACCAAATGATATTCAATCTTTTGTTTTAAGCTTCTTAATCTAGTTTCTCCAAGTAGATTGTAAGCTCATGGGCAGCAAGGTTCATGAGGTGTACTCCTGGGAGGCAGCCAGCTTGGCTCTTAGGAGTCAGGACACAGAAGTCCTAGACTCAATTCCGTCAGTGACGAACTGAGTCCCCTTGGGCAGTCTCTTGCCTCCTCTGGGTTTCCGTGCCCTCACCTGGAGAATAGGAGATCCTGGATTCAATGCCAGGCTCAGCCATGCCCCTCACGAACTCCCTGTGTGGCCATTCCTCAGGAATGCTCTCCCTTCTCACCTCTGTTTTTAGAATACCTGGCTGCCTTCAGGACTCGGGTAAAACACCACCTTCAGCAACAGACATTTTCTGGTGCTACCCCTAACCCCTAGGGCCTTCCCTTCTAAGAGTACTGTCCATCTACTCTGCATCTATCTTATGAATATCTCTTTATGAATGGGTTGTTTCCTCGTTACAAGATAAGCCCTTTGAAGGCAGGAATTTTTTTTTTTTGCTTTTTTTTTGTATCCCTGGTGCCAGGCACAGTTCCTGGAATATAGTACGAGGTTATTAAATGCTTGTAGATTGATTGATTGATTGCTTCCCCATTTGTAAAATAATGGGGTTGGACTAGATTTGGGTGTTTTTTATTTTATAAAGTGCTGAGCACAAAGTAGGTGCTCAGTGAGTATTGATCAAAGACAGCTGAGTCCCAGGTCTTTCCCCACTTCCACCCCAGTTTTTTCATTTGATATTTTTCCTATTCAAAGCTCTTCCCTGCAGAGCAGTATAGGGTAAAAGGCATCCACTAGACTTGGAGTCAGAGGACTTGGATTTTAGTGGTGGCTCTGATATTTATTAGCTGTGTGACCTAAGGTCAGTACCCTGTCTGAGACTCAGTTTGCTTACTTACAAAATGGGGATGATGTAATACCTGCCTCAAAGAATAATGGTGAGAAAAGTTCTGTGTAAATCTTAAAGGGTTATAAAAATATACTGATCTTTATTTATTATTTTCATACATGTGGAACTGGAAGGGACTTTAGGTCATCTGATTCCAACCCCTTATTTTACAGATGAGAAAGCTAAGACTTGACCTTGCCCAAGGTCACACAAGAGAACAAGAGAGCTAAGATTCAAACTCAGCTCTTCTCATTTAAAAATGAGTGCACGCTCCCCCAGGGCCTGTACTGAAGGAGTCCAATTGGAAAGAATGAGCTCCATGTTCATTAGTTGAGGTTATCCCCTTTCTGGCCAGGCCTTGGAAAGTTGGGCCCAGCTCCCACATTCCTGTCTTTGTACCCAGCAAGCTCCTCCCTCCCCTGCCTCAGCAGAGAATGGACACGAGGATGTGAGAGAGTGCGGAATAGGAAGTCAAGTTCCTCTCTCATGTACACTCACACTCCCCCACACCCTCCCAGGACACACAGAGATCTCATGCTTATGTTTCAAAGTCCCTTCTTTACAGCAAGCTATCTCTAGGGAAAACTAGGGAACAGAATCACAAGATCATGGGATTTTGAGCAAGATGAGACTTAGAGCAGGAAACTGAGGTCCATAGGGATTAAGTGATTTGCCAAATGTCACACAGCTAGTTAGTGGCAGAGCCAAGATTCAAACCCATAGCCTCCAAATTCCATGTCCTGTGCTTTTACCACATTGGTCCTCAGAGAGTGAAATGACTTGCTCTGGAATTGACCAAGAAATGTCAAGACCAAGACATGCAGAATCTGTTGCCTAATGTGGGTGCTAGGGTGGAAAGAACACTGGATCTAAAGTCAGAAGATCTGGGTCCAAATCTCAATTTTGCCACTTACTGTGATTTTGTGACTTTGGATTTACCTTCTCTGGACCTCAGTTTCCTAATCTGTAAATGAGGGGGTTGGGCCAGATCAATTCTAAGGTCCTTAACAATTGTAAATCTATTTATTCCTTCCAGGTCTTCTGCCTGCAAGACCACCTAAAGAAAGTCTGGATCAGAAGGTAATAATAATCATACCTCACCTTTATAGGCGGTTTTATGACAGACCTTCATGTCCATTATTAAATTCAACAAGCATTATTAAGCACCTGCTGTGCTGGAAGAGAGACCAAGTCTAGCTAAGTCCCTACCCTTTGGGCACTTGAAGTTTAGTAAGAGCCACATCTCTTGGCCCCTAGGACTGCCCCCTCCTGCAGGAAAAGAATTTTTTAAAAAAATTATCAGTAGCTTTTGTTTTTATAGCACCAACATTTCACAGTGAATCCCCTTCCCCTCCCAGAGAAGGAGTCAGTCCTTATAACAAAAAATTAGTAAAAGGGGTGAGGGGAACCCAGTCTGTGAAAGTATCTTGAAAAAGTATAACGGGTCACAACAATGCCTAATGACATCATTATTCCCAGGTGATCTTTATTGTTTTAGGCAAGTTGAGATGGGGAGAGGGGAATGATGCCTCAAGGAGAAGGTAAATCTTTAGCTGGGATTAGGAGACAAGACAGAATTCAAACACAGTCAGTCCTTTCCACCCAGCTTTTTCTCTCCTCTTCTCTCCTTTCAGTGGATGGACATTCTTGGCTCATTAGTAGGCCTTTCTCCTAGGGGCGTCTGCTGTGCCCCTTTTATCAATGTGGATTCCTTTGCTGTGTGGGTGAATAGCCAGTGACCTCTTTGTGCTTTATTGGAAGGAGGTTAGGAGGTGGTGGGGAGGGGGGTGATCCCATTTCTTTCTGCTGTTATAGCTTCCCTCTGGCTTATGTGCAGATGTTGCAGTGTTAACCCTTTCCTTCCCTCTCCAGCCAATCAGCTATTCATGTTGCCTTTTGAAGAGAGAGAAACTGAATTAATCTCAATCTGGGGTGGTGCACAGCCCCTCAGGATGGGTCCCCTAAGAGGGTATATATCTCTGGTTTTAGAGTTGTGGCTATAAATTAATTGTGAAGTAAGGACGATAGGCATTACCATTCATTCACTGGGTAGCTTAGAGCAAATCACTTTTCTCTGGGCCAGTTTTCCTACCTCTAATGAGAGATTTGCACTAGATGGTCTCAATATCTTGGATTCTTTGTTTCATCTGGTGTAATGCAGGCTGTTCCTGGGAAGGGCCAGGTTGATCATTCCTGACTTGGTACAGTAATGGTGAGGTGACCTCAAGTGAACAGATGTCAGACATCATGATGCCTTGACATGGGCATTGAGTTGAGACACAAGAGAACTAGGTTCCATTTCCCATTCTGGCACTGTTTGCTCTTAAGCCAGAACAAATTCAGACACTCGTCAGGACCTCCTTGTCTGCCACCCAGCTGAGCTTAGAGTTATCACAAGGATCACATCAGACAATCACTTCAAAAGGAATAAATTGCTTTCTGTAGAAAGATACCTTACACGCTAAAAGTGTTTGGTGAATTTGTTTTGTTAAATTGATCAGTTAGTCTTCATTAAACAAAGCTCCCCCAAACCATTAACACAAATCAGAATCAGTCCTGTCTTCTGCTATCTAATGTGGGTGAAAATTTTGGGCATCAAGAAAGCCCAAATGGGTCTGGATTTAGGAACCATTGACCAGTAAAGAATATATCATGTCATAAGTAGAAGGAACCTCAGAACACAGAACATAGAATGTCACAGCTGGATGGGACCTGAGCACATATGAGTTAGGGAGCAGAACATCTGAGCTGCAAGGAAACCCAAAGACTAGAAAGGTGAAATGACTTACCCAGGGTTACACAGCTAATGAGTGCTTGGGGTAGGATTTGAACTCAGATCTTCCTGGCTCCAGGTCCAGTGCCCTTATCTTCCCTTGTGTCATCTCTCTTTCCCTTATACCAGTCTAGTTCTTTACAATTTATAGTTTTCCCACTGACCCAAAACAACCCCATTGTCATCTTTTCAGCCACTAGAAATTTTTCAAAGCTCTTGTTAATCAAAGTATCACATATGGGCTTGTTTTCCTATTTTTCTCCTGTCAGTTTCCCTCAATGCCTTATGCTGGTTTAGAGGTGACCCTGATCACTCTTTAAAAAAAAAAAAGCAGACATTTATATTGTGTTTTACATATATCATTTTTTTTTTAATGTGAGGCAATTGGGATTAAGTGACTTGCCCAGAGTCACACAGCTACTGAATGTCTGAGGCTGGATTTGAACTCAGGTCCTACTGACTCTAGGGCCGGTGCTTTTTCTACTGTACCACCTAGCTGCTCCTACATATATCATTTCACTTGATCTTCACAGAAACCCTATGTGATGGGTTCCATTATTATCCCTATTTTGCAAATGAAGAAACTGAGGCTCAGAAAAGCTAAATGACTTGCCCAGGGACTCACAACTAGTGAGTATCGAGGTAGGGTTTGAACCCAAGTCTGATGCTCGTATTTCCTGTTAGAGTCTCATGCTACTTCTCTTGACCCAGAACTCTTGCAAGCTGTGCCAGCGAAGTCTAAGCTCTGGCAAGTTTTACCAAGCCAGAAAGGCTTCCTGTATGGCCTCAGTGACAGACCATCCATGTGTTCCTAGTTAGGACCATCTAAGGATGGTCATTGTCAGGTTGACCAAGCGGTGGGTTTTTTGTTTTTCATGACAGGAGCTCATGAAGCAATGAGTTGCTAAGGTAGGACAGGGAGTGTTTTCCCTGACAAAATCAGAGATCCCTGAAATACATACCAGTATCAGGCTCCAAAGGACCTTAGAGATCATGCCGTCCAATGCCTTCATTTTATGGATGAAGAACCTAAGGCCCAGATGGGTCTGAGTGCTTTGTTCAAGGTCTCACACTTAGTGAGTGGCAGCATTATCTGGTGCTCTGTTCATTCCTTCACACAACATGCTGTTCAGCTCAGTTCAGACATTTATTAAGCACCGACATCCTTACAGCACATACACAGACAGCAGGGAAGCTACTAGGGGGAACACTGGATAGAGTCCCAGGCCTGGAGTCAAGGAAGACTCACTTTCCTGAGTTCAAATCTGGCCTCAGACACTTACTAACTATGTGACCCTGGGCAAGTCACTTAACCCCGGTTGCTTCAGTTTCCTCATCTGTAAAATGAGCTGGAGAAGGAAATGGCAAACCACTCCAGTATCTCTGCCAAGAAAACCCCCAGTGGGGTCAGAGTCAGACACAACTGAAATTACTGAGCAACAACAGGCCTTATGCTAGGTGCTGGGAATATGAAGCTGGAAATGAAACAGTTCCTCCCCTCAAGGACCTTATAGTCAGTCGCTGGTAGCGTTGGTGTTGGGGGACTACAATACACACAGGTTGGCAATTGAAAACTTATAAAAAGTGATTCAGGAGGAAGAGTCTGTTAACAATGGGGGGAGGGAGCTTCTGGAAGGTTCCCATGCGGGAAGAGGAAGTTAGGAATTCCAGGAAGCAGAGCTGAGGAGGAAGTTCATTCTAGACTTGGGGGACCCCTTGTACAAAGGTGTTAAGGTTGGAGGTCTCACTCATTTAATCCCACAGCTGACAGGCTAGTCTGACTGGAGTCAGGAGTGTAGTAAAACGCCTGGTGGATTGAAATGAGACTGCTCTTGTTTCCTGTGTAAGAGTCTGAGCTCCCCAGTTAGGCCCTGAGGAGAGGAGAGGAGACTGAAAGTAAAGCATACTGGTGGCTTTAACAAACATTCATGAAATGCATGCTTTGTACAACAGCCTGTGATCGGTAACGTATAGTAAGCAAAGATCAATAGAACCATACTATCGTTCTCAAAGGCTTGCTGTCTAGAAGAGGGCATACAAGGCAACTTCACATAAGTATCATACAAAATTGTATGTAATCCATGAATTAGAGAGCAAACCAAGTGCCATGTGAAGTCTTAGGGGGAGGTGATTGCTCCTAATTACAGGGAACAGGAAGTCTTTGTGAAAGAGTTAGACCTCAAAAGTGGGGAGGGATTAAAATAGTCAGAAATGGGGAGGGAAGGGCATTCCAGCTTGGAGAAGAATGTAAGCGAAGGTCCAGGGGTGGGAAAGTGTAGAGGACCTTATTGTTGTTGTTGAGTTGTTCAGTGGTGTGCAACTCTTTATGACCCTGTGGACCATACTGTGCATGGGGTTCTCTTGGCAAAGATACTGGAGTGGTTTGCCATTTCCTTCTCCAGGGGATTAAGGCAAACAGAAGTTAAATGACTTGTCAGGGTCACCCAGCCAATCAATGTCTGAGGCTGGATTTGAACTCAGGTCTTCTTGACTACAGACCCAGCACTCTATCCACCCAACTGCCTCCTATAGAGGACCTTGGGAGTACTAAATTCACATTAGAAATGAGAGGGTGGTGTGAATAGAGATGAACCAGTCCAGGAAAGGGAGAGAGAAAGCCACAGAGTTCAACCATAGGAAATGATTGGAGTGCCATGTGGCTTTCGAGAAGCTGCCTACCTTCTCATCTTGTCTCCTCCCCTCCCCCTCTCACCACAACTCCCTCATCAGCCCCTTGTCAGCCTGTCTACAGACATGACACATTTTCATGTGGGGCCCCTAGAATTTCCCCTCCTGCCAGGGGCCCCTTGGGAATCAGAGGAAGTCATGTGAAATAAAGACTTTCCTGAGCAGGGGGGGAAGGAACGAATGGCTGATCATGATTCATCACCAAGTGAAACTGGGCTCAGTTTCTGTCTCTGGAAGGGACAGGAACTGTAGAGAGGAGAAACTTCACATTGGCCATGAGGGACAGAGTCATAGAAATAAGGGCCTTACACTGCTACCCATGAGGCACATGCCATTGGTTTAGCAAGTTGATGCCACCTCTGTGGACCTCAGTTTCCCTCTCTTCCATGTGGGGATATTAATTCTCATACTGATTTCCTTATTATTATTATTGAGTAACATATGTGTCAATGGCTAGAAACATGTTCCAGAAACTATAAGGGATGGCTTTATTACTCTTGGATATCTCTTCAGGTCCTTAATAAAAGGGATACAAGGGAGGTAAGGGAAGGAGGAGAGTTGAGGTCTGACGCTTCCTCTCTCCTCCCCCAAACTTTCTGGTGGCAATAATTTGTCTGCT